GAACGTATTCTGAAGAGGCAAAAAGCATAGTTCTTAAGTATTACACTCTCCTTCTATTGTCAGCAGATTCTACATTTATCTAATTCTAATTCACCCAGCTCTTTTCATTTTTCTTCAGCCTGTCTTTGTTTTGTTACACATTAAATGAGACACAGATAGAGTGGGCCGAAATCCTGTGTTAGAGGGAAGAGTGTAAGTTTTGTTTGCTATAGGAAAATAGCAAGAAAGTGAAAGACTGATGACGCTAGTATGAATGATGGTGAGGATAGGAACTGAAAAAGCGCTAGGCAAATGTTGGTTGAGCTCGACTTGAAAATACTTCAGTTTATTTCTGCTTAACGCTTTTACGCCCAGGCTTTGAATAAAGCAAAACCAATCGGTGGCAACAGTGGTGCGATACGATTTACCCTTCGGTCTGATGCAGCAGCCTAGAATTTAGTGTAAATGTTGTAATGTGGTGGCTAAGAGCTGACTGAGATAAAAACGAAGTTCTTGTCGTGCGATGAATTGGATAGAAAGAAAAAGCTAGCTGCTTATGATGATGTTGCTCTTTCTCTACATGCGTCTTCACTTTCAACCCCCGCATCATTTAGTGCACTGGGCACAGGTCTTCAAAGTTTTTGAACTCAGCAATCCAGTTAAGCTTTCACGAGAACTTCTTAAAAAGTTAACAGAGAAGGGAAGGAAAAAGAGAGGAATAGGAAAATCAAACAGTTAAATAAGAAGTTTCTTAGAACTGACACAGTCAGTTGCATTGTCGTCTACAAATAACACTTCCTTCTTTACGTAAGCTGTCCTAAAGGCTTTTTAATATCTCAACGATTTCTTGAATAGATGTTAGATCTTTAATGATTATAAAATAGCATTATATTTCTCATTTCTATTGCTGATTTCATCATTCCTGTTCTTTCGTCGTATTAAAAACATTAGGGTCAAAAGTGTTCATCAGGTTCCATAGTTTTGCGATTTATAAGCATTGCAAGAACTTTGTCTTCTTTCGTATTATCTAAACTTTCTTGGATGGAATAGAAGAAGGAAGAAAGAAGAGAGTTAAGTTGGCTCAAGACCGGTAGAAGAAGCTGTGGAACAAATTTCTTGGTTTTTTGCTTAGTATAGAAGCATTTGTTTTGTGGGTATTATTATTTTCTGTCTTCTCTCATTGTTGTCGTTGCTGAAACGACAAGTTAGCAGAAAATAGACTACAGTAAAAATAGAGCAGAAAGACTGGGTAACAAAGCATTTAAGTTTGTGCCCTGAGTTAAGACGCCTTTTTTTGTTCTGAATCACTTTATGCTATTTCTGCGCAGCCATTGTGATGATCCTAACTAAAAAAGAAACCAAAAAAAAAATAAATAAATAAATAAATGCTGCACAGAAAAGAGACTAATGGCATTCGTTAAATGGGTTGTTTGACCTGAAAAAGCCTCTTAAATGCTAACATCATGTGTTCACAGAAAACCTTTTCAATCCTTTTTGATTTCAAATGTCTTTCGAATGCTTTACAGTTTCTCCATCCTACTGCCTGAGCAATATAGAGTAAAAAAGTTTCTCTCCCAGAATATTAGATTCTTTTTTTCTTTGTTTTTCGTAAGCGAATGTTGTTGAACATGATCATTATTATTGCTTAGTGACTTCCATTTATTTGCTCGTCAGCTTATCTGTTCTGTTCATTCATGCGGCGGTACCCTCTTTCACACTATCAATTCATATGTCCATCCTCCGCCCAATTTTGAGAGTAGGGAGGTGTGACAGTTCTTCGGTGTTTCAATGTTGGAAAGCCAGATGGGTGGGGGAGGGGGGAACAGTTTATGATTTGTGGTGGTGTAATCTACTCTTTCTTTCTTTGCTTTCGTGTTCGATGTTTCTAAGCAATTACTCTAATCGTTAAAAATGATCAAATGATAAAGATGTTGAGTTTTTCTCTTTCTGCTTCTTCCTTTATTTTGCTTTTTTTTGACCAGGCATCAATGAAGTGAAAGTTCTGATGATGGTAATACATGAGTTGTGATTAAGTGTTTATGCGTACGAGGTTGATCGCCGAACGCTGCACATTTATGCAAAGGGGCGAGTAGATCCTTTCGAAAACAGAAAAAAGTAGTCGAAAGGGGCAGTTTAAGGAGAGGACTCGCCAATGGTAAAGACGGTCTCATTTAGAATGATTCAAGGATTAAGATGAGGAATAATTTATTTCTTCATGTTTCCTTTCATGATTGTCTTCTTGCTGTTCCCTTCCGTAAAAGTAGCATAGGGAGAAGCAGTAATTTGAAAAAATAGTGTCTTGTTTTTACTGAAAGAAATTTATCAATCGTTCAATTTCTCCGCATCTTTTTGCTCTTTTTCTTTTTTTGTTGTTGTTTTAGCTGCGCAAGGCGTTAGTTTAAATGTTTAAATATTATTTATACTTTGTTTGTTTTGACTTATATTTTTGGAGTCCTTCTTTTGCTTTTATCAGTGATGGAGGCAGTAGGAAGAACGTTTTTTCACTTTCTCACTTTTCTGGATGCAAGAGCGAAAGTTAGAGTAAAGTCTCAAATATACATATATGTGAACAAAAAAGTACAAAGAAGCAGCAACAGCTTCAAGAAATTTCTGCTTTCACAGTTGTGATTGATAATAATTTTTTCTTGGGAATTTTATGCATTTTTTGGTAGGTGAGCTGAAAAAAAAATGGGAGGGAAACATTTCGGGCAAATATTTTTTTTTTGTTCTTTCAAAGCAATTTTTGTAGTTTGTGAAGAATGATGAAATTACAAGAAAAAGTTGTGAAAGTATGTTGGAGGCATCAAAATCATATGTATTTTATCGACCTTTTTATGTGCTTGTGTGCGTTTGTGTGACTGGCCAGATGTGAAGATTTTATCAGCAAAAGAAAGGTTTCAAACAAAAAAAAAAGTTTTTTATAACCGTAATATTTGGACAGTTAAAGCGAATGTAGAGAATACCTTTAAAAAACTTAGTTTTTTTTAAAGGAAGAAAAGGATACATTGACATCATCGTCAAATAAAAATACACTCCCACTATCAATTCTCAACGCTCTTCACGATGCTTAAAACTCTATGGAGAGTTTTGCTTCGTCTTCGTTAAATTTGCATAAATTTTTGGTTTCTTGTAAAAAAAAAGATTCGAAAATTGAGCTTCTGTTTTTTTCTTCATAAAATATGTTGCCTAGTAGTTTATTGTATAGGTACATAGTTTTGCTTTAAAAGCTTTAAAATTGAGGGCATCGGGTGAAAATCCAGAAAGTGTGAAAAAGTTCCCCATAGGGAAGAAGTTGAGGACGCGAAAAGAAATAAGGGAGAGGACGAAAAGGACAATAATAGTGCCATCAATAAGTAGGAGTGTAGTATAAAATTTAAATAGATTTGCTTATTATGTTCGTTGTGCATCCAGTCAGCATAGACGGTGACGGTTTGACCGTTATTTACCGGTTAATTGACCACTGACTCCAAAGTTGTATCGCAAAGATTCATTGGATGCTTTAAGTACTTAACTGATTGGGGTAAGAATTGGAGAGCAACAGAACAGTGCAACTTTTCATTGTGAGTGTTAAAGCGAAAGGTAGTAACTGCTAGTTGTCTATAACCGATACGATAATACAGTTGGGACAACAAAGTAGTTACTTTAGCAAGTAAATTTTTTTGCTATTCTTTTTCTGCATGCAGCGTAAAATTTGAATAGGATGAAATGTTTGTGTATTTCTTGCAGTTGAAACTTGTTTTCGATACCCTATTAGTAGCACTAATAGCGATAAAAGTTTTGGAAGATGGCGTGCATTGCTAATTCAACGAGCAAGTAGCAAACGGCTTAGTTGGTGAGTATAAGCACTTTGCATGTTCTTTCTTTCACATTTTTCATTTGTACGATAAGGAAAAAGCATAAAAGTGAAGAAGAAGGGAGCTTGAAAGTTACGTAACAACAAATAAAATTTTAGGAAGATAAGGGGGTAAAACTACTTTTGTTCTCCTTTCATTTAACATGTAGAGTCGAAGTAAGTTTGGCTTGTAGTTGAATAATCACTAAAGAGACCTTAACAACAATGATACATTTTAACAAAAACAGTTGAACACATTTTCGCTCGTTCTCTTTTCCTACTTAACTTATCACTTAGAAATCAGCCAATGTGCTGTTTATACTGTCACTTATATGTAAACTGTATGGGATAGTCAAGATATATTGACTTTTTTCCTTTTCTCATCGCTGAAAACAAAGTATCATTTATGTTGTTTTTAATATTTTATACAGTAACAGATGGGCAAAATTAAACGAAAATAGGAACAGAATAGAATTATGATGAAGATATTGTTGGAAGAAAGATGCAAATGTCAACAACAGCAAAAAAAAAGCAGTTTTTTTCTTTGACATCGCTAAACCACATTTCACTGGCTGTTTGGGACAGTTAGTTTGTTGATTTGACGATTCTGCAACGAAAATTGCAGCTCTTGCAGACTTTTTTGCTAGAACTCTTTAGGGTGCACATGGATTGTTGTTGCCGATAGATCGCAGCAGCAACTTATCGCTGTTCGTTTTCTCCGTTAATTCTTTCGTGCTCTCCCCATACGAAACGTTCTTCGGGGGTAAATGCTGGGAAACAGTCCCATGAATTCTTCTTAATATTCCAGAAAGAAATCCAATAAAAAAAAACTAAATTTTAATGTCGCCTTTTTGCTTATTGTAGTTGCAGTTATACTTTTTTAAACGTTTTATTTCCCGACATCGCTTGTTGTTTGGTTTAAATTTGTATTCGATGGTTACATGCTTTTCTCTGTTACGTTGTTTATTGATTTTATGCTCATTTTAAAGTAAAAAAAGTTGTTCCATTTTAGCTAAATCTTTTTCGTTAAATTTTTTGCGAACTAGCGATAAAGTTAACAAATTGAGGAAGAGCTGTACCGATGTTGTTTCTTTTACTTTCTGTCATTCTCAAGTATTTCATCTTGCGTGACAAAAAGGCAGAAAATGATGGTAAAGGAATGACTGCATCTTCAGTGGTCAAAAATAATTTTTTGAAAAGAATTTCTTCTTTGATAATTGACGTTCCTTCATTAATATATCCGTGGTTTTTAGTTTTTCAATTGTCGTTGCTATTGTCAAGAAAACCGGATTTTTGTAGACATGATTCGTTAAAGATATATTTTTTTT